GCCAGAAGTTGAAGACCAGCCTGGGCAACATAGTAAGACCCCATCTCTTAAAAAAAAAAAAAATTAGCTGAGCATGAGTGTGGTGGCACATGCCTGTAGTCCCAGCTACTCAGGAGGCTGAGGTGAGAGGATCGCTTGAGCCCAGGAGTTGGAGGCTGCAGTGAGCTATGATCATGCCATTACACTCCAGCCTGGGAGACAGAGCAAGACCTTGCCTCTAAAAAAAAAAAAAAAAAAGTATGTCCTGCACATGAATATTCATACCAGCTTTATTCATAATTGCCAAAACTTGGAAGCAACCGAGATGTCCTTAAGTAGAGGGATGGATAAACAAACTGTAGTACATCCAGAGAATGGAATATCATTAGCACTAAAAAGAAATGAGCTATCAAGCCATCAAAAGGCATGGAGGAAGCTCAGACACATAACACTAAGTGAGAGAAGCCAATCTGAAAAGGCTACACACTGTATGACTCCAACTATATGACATTCTGGAAAAGGCAAAACTATGGAGACTGTGAAAAGATCAGTGGTGGCCAGGGGTTAGTGCGGAGGGAGTGGTGAATGGGTTGACAGAGGACACAGCATTTGCAGGGCAGTGAAACTCTTCTGCATGACACTACAACGGTGGATACATGTCATGATACATTTTTCAAGATCCATAGACTGTACAACACCAAGAGTGAACCCCAATATAGGCTATGAACTTTGGGGTGACAGTGTGTCAGTGTTGGTTCATCACTTGTGACAATGTGCCACGCCACTGTGGTGCAGGATATTGACAGCTGGGGAGTCAGTGGGGGGTGGGGATATATGGAAACCTCTGTACTTTCTGTTCCATCTGTACTTGTGCTGTGAACCTAAAACTGCTTTAAAAGTAAAGTTTGTTAATTGAAGAAAGAGAGAGAGAGAACGCTCCTTCCTGCTTGCTCACTTCTTTTTCACTTTTCATTTCACCTGTATAATTCTTAAATGAAGCCGATATCCAGGTGTAGCATGAAAATGCCAGCTAGAGTGGAAGCTACAACTTATAAACGTGGAGCAGCAGAACTTTCTGTTCCTGAACTCAACATGGTATGAGGGTTGGTAGCAGCCCCTTCATAGACTGAGCTGTCAGCTCAGACCTGCTGCCACTAAAGCCTTTCTCTGCTATTTCGTGTTGTTCCGCTGACTCTTGGACCTGACTTAAGTTTCAGAAGTACGAGGGTGGAAGAAAGCCCCCAGAAGGCAAATTTCAGCTCAATGAAAGGAAGAGCTTTCAAATAACTAAGCAAGCATGCAAAGGACACCTCTGGAGGTAGTGAGTTGTTCACCACAGAACCAGGAACAATATCCATAAGAGAGGCCAACAAAGAGCTTCACTTGAAGTAGGAAGTTCTTTCCAACTCAGAGATCCTGTATTCTGACTGCGAGCACCCCAGGCGGCAGGAAGCCTACCAGAAATCCTGTCCTGCCCTGGGCACTTCTGATTTCCCATGTGCCTGTCCACATGCGGCTGACCTCTCACAGTGCAGGCAGAAGAGGAAAGGTAGGCAGGCTGCCCACCTCCTGGGGCTTAGAGAGATGGGCCTTAGGGAGCCAAGAGCCAGGCACCCCAGGAAGGGCACAGTCTTCTGGCTCTGGGACAATGCGCCAGGATGGCTCGCCCTGCACTCTGCTTATTCTCCCAGGGTCCCAAGCCCTTTCTGCCACGCGGAAGATGTCAGGGCTGTACCCTACACCGTGCACGTGGGCCTTTCCAGGTCACGAACCACTCGCCTGCATTCTATTGCATTAAGCCTCCCAGCAACCCAAGAGGTAGGCAGCAGCCAGCATGTCCCTCATCAGACACCCCTGATGGAGAAATGGAAGCTCAGAGAGGTGCCCAAGGCCACATCGTGCATAACAGAGACTCTAATCTACGTCTCCCGGTTCCAGGCCCCGAGTTTTCCTTTCAGCCAGGCTGTCTCAGAGAGACCATAGGAGTCATCAGGAGAATCTTCATCTTGTCACTGGGCCATTGTACCCAGTGCCTTTCTCAGTGGCCTAGGGCACACCCAGACAATCTCTGAACCGGAGTGGACCCATCCTACAGATGAGCACGTTAAGGGAGGAAAAGCTTTGACAGAACGACTCAGTGGCAAAGAATAGAGTCTGACTTCTAGTCCTGACCTCGAGCACGCAGCTGACAAGGAAGGAGAACCGGAGCGCAGTTCTCTCCCTCCTGCCTGCCCAGAGCAGCCTCGCTGTGGGTACCAGCTGGGCCTGAGTCCCACCCACGTTATGCCAAAAACCCGGGGAGTCCACAGCTGACAGGCCCCCCGCTTCACATGCCGTGGCGTTGAGGGAGGCCTGTGTGCAGTGGGTCTCCGCTGTCCTAGTTTCCTGGCTAAAGACCTAGATAGAGTATCTAAATTTTCCTCCAGCCAACTGCTGCCCCAGATTTAGCCTCTCTGATGGATAAGTCCGTCTCTCTCTCCACCAGTGCCTGTGTCTGTCACTTCATCCCATCCCTGGGCTTCCTGAATCACCTGTCTTTAAGTTGCCGACCATGCGGTGGAATCCTGACTTGAAATGTATAGAATTGTATAAAGAAAATGCCAGAACTCTAACTCGAGATCCGGAGGAGAGCCTGGAGACACAGAGGCCCGGACTCGGCGGGGTGTGGAACGACTGCACCATCGCGATGCCGATCCTCAAATCCACGCCAGCCAAATACAGATCCTCAGCCTTTTTTTTCCCTTTTAATCAACAAAATGATTCTGAAGTCCAGCTGGAAGGATAAATGAGCAAGAATAACTGATAAAATTTTAGAAGAAGAAAAATGAGGGTGGATTGTCCTATTGGATTAAAATCAAGATGTAAAGTTGCAAAAATCAAACTGTTCATTCATTGACCCAATCCACAAACATTTATCAAGTCCTTGTCTTGGACCAGGAGCTGTGCCAGGCCCTGGGAATGTCTGGAGTGCAAAGGGGACATGGTGCTTCCTGCCCGTAGGGCCCGATGCAGAGCCCAGGGAGGGCTGGCTGGGAAGGGTGAGGAGTTCCTAAGAGATGAGCGAGGCAGCCCGGTGCTGAGTCAAGGTGATGGCTCCAGCCCTATGGCTGTCTGGGACAGGACAAGTGGCAGAGAGCAGTGGACTAAATCAGGCCCTCCCTCTGTGGGCTCCTCTGGACAAGCCACTCTGCTGCTTCCGGCCTCAGACGGTTCACACGCTGGGTGGGCCAGTATTAATAATGTGATCACAATACTACCAAACACAGATACTCATTAACCACATATTATGTGCCAAGCACTTTGTATGTAACATCTCACTTAGCTCTCATGACATCACTAATAACTAATAAGGTCTAGGCCGGGCGCACTGGCAGAGGATTGCTTGAGCTCAGGAGTTCAAGATCAGCCTGAGCAAGAGTGAGACCCTGTCTCTACTAAAAATAGAAAAATTAGCCAGGCATCATGGTGTGTGCCTGTAGTCCCAGCTACTTAGGAGGCTGAGGCAAGAGGGTCACTTGAGCCCAAGAGTTTCAGGTTATCGTGAGCTACGGTGTGATGCCACTGCACTCTACCCAGGGTGATAGAGTGAGACCCTTTCTCAAAAAAAAAAAAAAAAAAAAGATAGGTTACATTAATCTATTATTATCCCCATATTTCAGACAAGAATATTGATTTTCAGAGAGGTTAAGTAACTTGCCAAGGTCACAAAGCTAGAAGTGGTGAAGGTCAGACACAAACACAGGCAGCCTGGCTCCAGAGTCTTCCCTGCCCTTCAGGTGTGATAATGACGCCTCGGATCAGGCAAGGCCCCTGCTGCACAGAGATTCCAGGTGAAGTGGGCTTCAGCAGCTCACCACCCTCAAATGAGGCAAGAGTCTCCTCTACCTCACAGGCTGCCTTATCCAGTGCTTGGCCTGCTTTGTTGACTTTCAGAGAATGAAGGAACTTCTGAGATCGTCAAACCCAATCACCGTTACGGTACCAGAAGCCCCTCTGTGGATAACAGAGGCCACTACAGCCACCTGTGAACACTAACAAGTGGCTCATGACCTGCTGACACAGCTTATGACAGTTCTGGATGGCGCTTTTTCTGGAAGGTGATCACTCACCCTTTTTACTTTCCTCCCAGGGGTTGGCGAGGAGAAAGACACTCCTTGCCAAGAAGCTATGACAAGTCCCAAGCACTGTCATCCCACCTGGCCTCCCTGCCCTGCTCCGTCTGGTTCTTCAGCAAGGCCTGAGTGCCCAGCTGGCCTGCATCACTCCCCAGTGCTAGGAGCCCGAGCCGGCGCAGCTGCCAGGGGCCCGGAGCGCGGCGGGAGGGGAGTGTGCACCTACCTCTCTCTGCTCCCGCTGAAGGCACAGCTCTTCCGTCTCCTCCATCAGTTTGTCTGCCAAAGCAAGCACACACACACATATACACTCACCAAAGGCTCGCTCTGCATCCAAGGTCCTGAGGCGGCCTCTGTAACCCCAGCATCTCCCGAAGAAGAGGTCAGCACCCTGCCAGCCAGAGGGTGGCGCTAGCTCCTGGGGACGGAAGCTGCCTCACTGGCCTGAGCTGCCGCCCCCCTTTCCCGTCATCGTCCCTGGTTTGTGCATTCACAGGGCCATGAAGGGCCACGTCCTCAGAAGCTCGAGTGGGTGTCTGCTGTAGCCGGGCCAGTCCCCACTGGGCCTCCCACCTGCACTCAAGTCTGCCTGGTGGGGGCGGGCAGAGTCCTAGGGGAGGTGTCTGGAGCAGTCAGAGGGGGACAGTGCTGGGCCGCAAGAGACTAAGCAGGCAGAAGGGGACAGGGTCCCAGGCAAAGGAGCAAACCCTCAGTCTCACAGGCTTCTCTCTCAAACAGAGCATTTGCCAACCAATCAAGGCCACAGGGGCCTGGAACCCTGTGGCCAAGTTTAAAGTGGTCTGGGGGAGTGGCCAGGGGCAAGTCCAGGCCCTGGGGACCTGGGTAGGATAACAACATCAACTCCGCTTACGGGGCCCTTACTGCGTGCCTGACACAAGCACTTTCTCATTTAGCTCCATCCTCCTACCACCTCTAAAACCAGGGACTATTTCTATCTCCATTTTAAGGGTGAGGAAATTGAGGCTGAGCCGCCCAAAGACTCACAGAGCCGACAGATGAGTGACGATGCTGGACGCAGAACCCAGGCTCCTAACCACCAGGCTCTCCTGCCTTCAGCCACGCTGGCCAAAAGAACACTTACTGCACTATAAAGCCCTCACGTGCCTAACTGGTCTCTGGCTCCTCATAGCCTGCTAAGCCCCACCTGAGACACCCCCAACCCTGCCCGGGTCCTCCACCAAGCCTCTGGCTATAGCCCCCAGCCCCCAAGTGCGACCATTAGGGAGCCTCAGCTTCCAGCGCACCCCTCCAGCCAACCTAAATACTCCTGCTTTTCCTTAGCCAACTGCAGCCCCTGGGCCTCCAGGCTTTTGATCATGGCTTCTCCCAGCTGGGCATTCTTCCAGGTCCTGGGGAGGGAGGGCAGATGGGACAGAGGAGAGAAGGGGAAGAAACAGAAAATCGTTAAAATGGAAGGGGAGAAGAGAAAGAGCATGCACAGGTTTTGTACCTGCCCGTCCTTTCTCCTCCAGAACCCCAGCTTGCGTTCTCTCTGGCACCCATGGCTCTGGGCACGCCACCAGCACGGCTCACTTACATAGCTGGAGGCTGGCCCAGGCAGCAAAGTGGGCCATGGGGGCTGGGCCAACAGCACTTTCGGAGCAGGGAAGAGATTGCTTCCCAGGTGGATCTCTACACCACAGAATGCCCTGCACCTGGTGCAAGGCCTGGCACAGGGCGCACAGTGTCGTTTGTTGGGTGAAAAGCACGACGCAGCTCGAATGGGCAGGGTCCAGGACAGGAATCTATGTGCAAATGGACTGTGTCGGGCTGGGGATTTCTGTGGGCTGGACCCCAATTTGCGAAGCACTAGCTCTGGTCTTTGCAAGAATTAATTATGGGCCTGGGAAGGCGAGATGGGTGTGAGGAGGTGCCAAATATGGCTAGTGGGTTGACTCCCAAGAGTTGGAGACAAATGGTGCCCACATCTGCCACTTGTGGCTCTAGACACTTCCCAAGCTCACTTAGGGGACTGCTCACAGATGCTCTATAACCCTGCCTGTCTCCTCCCACCTACCCTAGCCAACTCCCAAAACCCTGTCCCTGTGCCCACCAGGATCCCAGCAGAGGCAGGGAGTTCAGGGTGGGCCCAGCCCGTACCCCGCCCCTTGGAGCCTCAGGCCGCCCCTCCTGGGGGTGAGCACTTACACCTTCCCAGACTCCTGCAGCATCTCCAGCCACTGGGTCTGCTCGAACTCAGACTCGGCAGCCAGCAAGACGTTCCCCTGCCAGGAAGAGGAGCCACAGTGTGGCTGAGAAGCAGTCACTTTTTGGGTGATGGAGGCCCAGCTCTGCTCTCCCACCTCTCCCTATGTCCCTGGGCACTGAGCCCTCCTGGGCCAGGCCACAGAGGGGTCGCCCTAGGGATCCTGAGGAGCTGGTTTTCCCCTGCTGAGCCCAGGCTGAGGGGAGAGCCTTACTCACGTGGAAGTCCTGGTGGGAGATCTTCATGGCGTAGGGCATGCTGGGCTCTTCCTTGGCCTCCACCAGGCAGCCCCCCAGAGGGATGACACCCTGAGGGAGAACCAGAACAGGCAGCCCCCACCCCATCCATCTCAGGTCACTCAGGGACCCAGGGGCCCCGGGACAAAGCCAAGTCCTGCCAACAGCCCTCGGTGGGAAGCCAGACTCTGAGGCCACTGGGCAGAGGCCAGACTGACTCCCAGAGCAAGGAGGAAAGGATGGACAGGCTCAGGGTACAGGAGGGTGGGCGTCCAGCCCAGGAGGCAGGCAGGGGGTCTTTCGCCGCAAGAGCATTTGCTCTCCGGACTCTCTGCTAGACCAGAGCAAGGCAGCAGACGGTCCCCATCCCTCACAAGACACATTCCCTGATGTCCCTGCTGGGCCCTTCCCCACACGGCCCTGGGGAGGAGCTGCCTCACCTTAGGATGTATATTGAAGTATTTATTGGTCTCAAAGCTCTTTCTTTCGCTCTCAGAGTAGTAAAGCAGAAAGCTCTCTTTGATGATGAAAAACCTATAGTGGGCGGTGGGGAAGGAGGAGCAACCAGGAGAGAAGAGGTGAGGTTTCTTGGGACAACAAGAGTGCCCCGGGGCCCTGGACTCTCGGCTCAGACCATCCTCTCCAACTCACGTTCCTCATGTGCACAGAGGTCTCAGCCGGCCAGCTGAGCCCCCGCAGGCAGCCCGACCCTCGCACCCGAGGGCAGCTGTAGTGGGAGGCCCACGACTCACTTCCGGGTCTGGCTACCTTCGTTCCCCCTCCAACCACCACCCTCAGCACAGCAGGGTGGCCGGGTCCTTCCCTGGCACCGTCGGCCCCTTGAGCCATCACCTCCAGTCACTTAGGGTCTCCTTCAGGAGTGGAAGGAAGGAAAGAAGGTGCGAGCTGCCAAGATGGGTCTTTGGCAAGTAAGGCTGGCGACCAAATGCAATTGGGGTACCGGGCCAGCGAGGCCAGGTCTGCAGCCCTGAACACCCCCAGTGTGACACCTGCCCTCCCTTTGTCTCAGACTGCTCCCCGGCCTCCTGTGGGGACTCAGGTCTAACGGAGGGTCTCTCTCTGTGACGTGGGGGACTCTCACAGGGCTAATGATTGGAGCTGACTGTGACAAGACACCAAGTGCCCTCCAGGGGAAGACGCAATTGGGCCTCAAAGTCCCAAGGCTCAGAGACAGCCAGAGTGGCGGCTCCTTCCTCCAGGGCCCTGCTAATGGCACTGTTGTCCTGAGGGGATGTGAGCGGAATGTGGCGGAGATTCTGAAAGTTGTTGAGTGCGTGGGCATGTGCGTCTGGGGAGAGTTTAAAGCAGTGCTGCCAGCTCGGGTGGGCTCACAGGGCCAACAGTGTCCATCTCTCCCTGCTCTGTATTCAGTGACACGGCATTGGTAGCTTGATGGTGACCACGGTGGGAGTATTATTTATATCATGAAAATCAATCACTGCAAAACTGCCCCGTCCCCTCCCCAAGAGCCTGGGGTTACACGTTTACCAGCACATCGCTGGTTGAAAGAGCCCCCTTGTGAGGGCTTGAAAGGTCGCTGGCGAGCGTGATGAAGTCAGTGAATCTCAGGAGGTCCAACAGCCATGTGATCTCTCCGGAGCCCCCAGCAGCCAGGACTGCTGACCGCTGCCATCTCTCCCTGCCTGGGGAGAGTGAAGCTCGGTTTTGTGTGAGCCTCATGCCAACCCACTTTCTTCATTTGCGTGACCCTCTCTGCCCAGCACACAGCAAATGCACCCCTGCAGGCCCTGCTCCAGGTGACGCCCTGCTAATGCCAACTCTTCCCTCAGGGCTGTCTGCTCCCAGTGCAGACAGAACTCAAGAACACCACCCGCTGCAGAACTGCGGTGACATTCTGCTCGCCTCTCAGCTTCCCTGCTCCGTCTGCACTTCCGCCTGTCTGTGCTCCCCACTAGGCTTGCATGGCCCTGCAAATGGAGACCGGGCTGCTGTCCCTCCCTCTCGCTCTTCATCCAGCTGGGCCCTTCTCACCCTCAGTGACCAGCCCAACCCACACTGACGTCTGAGCTCCTCCCGCACTTGCTGACCGGGCCATGCATTTGGCACTTAGCACCCACCGCCACACCCTGTGTGCTCAACTTGTCCTGAGGGGGTGCTAGGCTCCTGGAGGGTGGGGCTGTCCCACTTCAGCCCCTTGGGCCAAGGTAGATGTCCCCTGTGTCTGTTCCCTGCCTGTTTCAAAGGAACTTCACAGAGTAGCTAAGAGCATAGGCTTTGGCATCAGACAGACCTGCGGTTTTCCAGCTGGGGTGCCTTGGGCAACCAAGCCCACCTCCCTGGGTCTCAGTTTCTTTACCTGTAGAATGGGGGCAATAGCACCCACCTTATGCAGCTATTCTGAGGATCAGGTGAGGTTGTGCTCCTCACTCTGCCAATTTGCAGAGGACTCAGGACAGAGCTGAGAGAAGCATCCCGAAGGTCTGAATATGCAGGACTGCAGGGAGGGGTGAGGCAAGCAGCACAGGACTGCCTGCTGGGACCTCCTCCTCCCCCTCTCCCTCACCCTCCATGGCTTCTGAAATACTGCTAAGGACTGAATTGTGCCCCGCCTCCAAATTCCTCTGTTGAAGCCTGCACCAAATGCAACTGTTTCTAGAGACAGGGTCTTCAGGAGGTGATTAAGGTTAAATGAAGTCTTAAGGGTGGAGCCCTACTCCAGTAGGACTGTGGTCTTGTAAGGGGAATATCTGTCTCCTTCCCTCCCTCTCTCCCCCACCACTTGAGGACATACCGAGAAGGTGGCCATCTCCAGGAAAAGTGTCCTCACCAGAACCTGACCATGCTGGCATCCTGATCTCAGAGTCCCAGCCTTCAGAACCTCGAGAAAATACATTTCTGTGGTTTAAGTCACCCAGTCTCAGAGCAAAGCACTGCGCCAGGCCTGGAGGGTGGGCAGGCAGACGATCATTGCACGCACAGGCGGGGGAGAGCTGGGCTCTGGGGTCCAACAACCCCCATTCCTCAAGCTGCAGCCTCGGGCCGGCTCCCAGGCTCACTGAGCCTCTCTTTCTTCCCCTATAAAATGGGGGCATAGATATCTGTGTCTCTTAGGGCTGCCGTGAAGATTCCTTCATGGATTCAACAAATGATTGCTAAGCTCCCACTCTGCGCCAGGCTCTGCTCTGGGTGCTGGAGAGACAGTTGTGGATAAAAGAGACAAAAACCCCTCCCCACAGAGCTTACACTGCTTGCATGTAGTGGGGGTGGGGAGCAGACAGCAAATCAATGAGAGTGAGAGAGAGACGTCCCGTGCCAGGTACTGATCAATGCTATGGAGAAAAATAAATCAGGGGGGCGCAGTGGGAGTGCCAGGTGAGAGTAAGGACAACATTAAAGAGGTGGTCGGGGAGAACCTAATTCACAAGTGACCTTTGTGGAGAGGGAAGGTGTTCCAGCAGGGAAGCCGCAGGTGCAAGGGCCCTGAGGTGGGAAGTGTGCCCAGCTCTGGAGGGAACTGCAAGACTGCAGTGGCTGGGCCAGATTGCACTGGGCCCTGTGGCTACGGCAATGACAATAACGATCATGCTAACATTTATGTAGCACTTACCGCAAAGCACAACTTATTCCAAGCAGTTACCTCTGTTACTGCATTTAACACTCACAATGACCCTAAGAGGCCAGTGCTCCCTGCGTTTTACATGGACAGAAATGAAGCAGAGAGGCGGCACGACTTGTTGCAAGTCACATCGCTCGTTGCTAGAGACTGGCTTTTCTCTGGGTGAGAGAGACGGCCACCGGAGGGCCCTGAGCAGAGGTGACACGATCTGACTTGCATTGCGAAAGGCTCATCCTGGCTGCGGTGTTGAGGACAGACTGCTGAGGTGGAGGCAGGGGGTCTGTTAGGGGCTATTGCCACATATTGTCAGGGGGCAAGAGAGGATCCAGTGGGTGGAGGCACTTGCCAAATGTCACACCCCTCCTCCTCCTCTTGCCCTCTGAAGGACGGCATAGAGAGAGGCAGGGGAAGTTGGATGTCCAGGACAGCCTGTAGGCTGTAGGGATTGCCAAGGGCCCACACGCTCCTCATGCCACACCTGGCCCAGCCGCAGCTGTCCCAGCTTGGCTTGAGTGAAGGTGGGAGCCGAGGCAGGGGAGCTGGCGTGGGCCTGGGGGAAGTGGGTGACTGCCTGACCGGCAGGGATGAGTTCTACCCAACGCAGGGCTCATCTGGCCAGCACACTTCTAGGACTTCCAGGGTGGCTTTGCTTGTAAACCTGCCCTGGTGACAGCCCCGATGCCCCAGCTGATGATTCTTAGCTCCTTCTCCGCAGCTGGGGGACCAGCACCCCTTCTCCCATCCTTCCTTCAAAGTCCTCTCACTGTGACTGCAAGCCAGGGGCCCCCTCCTTCTGGGCCCCAAGGAGTTGGGCTGGCGATGCCAAGGGCTGGAGATAGTCACCATTTCTGTAGCCATCCTCATGCGTTGGCTCCTGTGCCAAGGGCTCTACGTGGATCAGAGTATTTGATCCATGGAACAATCCTGGAATGTTAGGCTTTTCATTCCCATTTTACAGATAAGGAAACTGTGGCTTAGAGGTGAAATAATGTAAGCAAAGCCACACACCCAGGACAGAGGTGGAGCTGGGACTGGATCCCACGGGCAATAGTTCCTACACCTGCTCCCCCCATCACACCTCCTAAGGAGCTGCCCTCTGGCTCCTGGCCAGGAAACAGCTGTGCCAGAGGCAGTAGGTTTCGAGGTTGGGATAGCCAAGGGTTAGAGCTCTGCTGCGTCAGCAGTGCGCCTGGGGCAAGTTACCTAATCTGTTTAGGCCTCAGGTGCCCCCTGTGTAACTTGAGGTTAATAATACCTCTATCTCGTGGGGTTGTCGGGATGTTGAGTTTGTCCACATAAAGACTTAGAACATCGCTGTAAATATTCGTTAAATAAATACTGTTATTATCACTGGGCTCCGCGTCCGCTGCAGCCTCCCTGACCTCCTTTCCCCTTTGCGCTCACCCGGCTCCTCCTGGAGGGAGCTCTTGGCTCCAGCCCAGCTGGCTGCTCCGTGCTCCGGACACATGGCACACGCCAGCACTCCCCCTCCCCTGTCTGAAGTCCCCACCTCTCCTTCCAGGCCCAACATCAGTCCTGGGAGAAGCTTGGTCTGTCAGCCCCAGCCCTCAGGGCCCTCCTTGGCGCCCCACGGGCGTGCCGAAGCCCAGAGCGTGTGTGAGGTAAGAGGCTCGGGCCAGCCCCGGCTGCCTCCTCTCTCCAGGAGCAGGTACGAGGTGCCAAGGCACTCGCTTTGCTAAGTGTTTTATTGACAGTATCTTATTTAAATTTCTCTCCACAATGCTAAAAGATGGAGGAGCTTGGTGTTTCCTATTCCACTGGCGAGGAAACTGAGGCACGGAGTGCTTGAGCAACTAGCAAGTGGCAAACTTGAAACTCAGCCGCCTCTGCTGACAAAGCCCGAGTTCTCCACGGCTGCGCTCTGTGACGCCTGCTTGTCCTCATCACGTGTGACCCGGAGCTTCCTGGGGCTTAT